GAACTCCATATAAATCACTATCTTATCCATATATAGTTTAGTAATGTATCTCATGAACTAACCATGTAATTTAAAAATAATCCTGTAAATTTTGTTGATTTATCATTAATGATCTAAATACCATTTTGTTTCCATTCTATGTATTTGGAAACCCCAAATGAAAAAAAATTTAAGGGTAACCACTTCCATTCTAAATTGACAATATCTACAAAATTTTAATTGTCCATGAGTTTCTAAAATTTCAGTTATACCTAACAATAATTGAAGTAGCTCAATTGGTATTCTTTTCCTTTAATTCTATATCACCCAATAATAATATATACACAACTTCAAGTTTAGCTCTTTTGAATAAAAATATACCTTAAACTCCTGTAAGCGATAAGTATTGTTCTCTCCCACCATGTGATAACACCACAATTCTTAAATTCAACCCCAATATAATCAACTATAAATCATGTTTTAATCATGCCTCTTCAATAATCTATCATATAATCCATAATTCATCATTTTACTTCAAAACACATTCTAAACCTTAACATAATCCATTAGCATAAATTAAATCCTCATCAACTTTTGATACAAGAGTAAATGTTTCCTTAGAACTCAATCTGATAGCAACACTTTTTACCTCCTTAAATTTACACAAATTTTGGTGCTCTTTCTTTCTATGAAGAGACAATTATAACAATTAATCCATGATAATTCTATACTCTTATTCCGTAAAGAGGCCAGCAGCCTATCACCAATGCATAAGCTTTCTTGTATATCGCACAAAGGCCTTCAATTAAGACTATAATCTAAAGATACCTTTCCACAATTGACTAAAATTTACATGATGATCATCTTAGACTTTAAGCTATCCAACATATCATCCATATGTTCCATAACGTGTAAATTTCGAGAAGAATGGAATACTTTATTCATGAAATTTAAAAATACAATCGAAAATAACTAAAAATTTACATCACTAAAATTTCATTAAATTCACCTTAACTTCAAAATTTGGCTCAAAACTTCCAAATTGTATATAAGATAACATAATAATCTAATAAATGGTCATGGCAAAACCAATTAACTTAATAACCCAAATACATCATCTCATTATTTCGCTATAGGACAGCCATAACATTCATTTACTTGTTACTCACTATAACATGTTATGATCATGTAACCTTATCATTTATCATCATATCGTAGGACCTAAAACATTTAATTTTGTCAATTTTTCCTTAACATCACTAAATAATAACCCTCATATTTATCCCGTGAACCTTTCATACATCAATATATCATCAAGATTTCAAACGTTAATTTTCCAAACTCAATAAATTCCAACTCTACCATTCCCCACTTCTTTTTTTTTTTTCACATAAACACACATGAATGCACATATCCATTTAATTCTATTTCTTAGTAACAAATCATCCCATAATAAGTAATCATGATGAAGTATATCCTTTTTTTCACATCCCTTAACATCTTATAAATAATCAAAGTAATTGGAATCACAGAAGATAATTAAAATTCCTCACTAATTGTAAGCATCTCATTTCCTTTTATTTGTCGGGCAAACTATATCAAGCAATTCAACATATAAATTGATAATTAAGTGGTTGTACCTCTATCACTTTAAATGTTGATACATAAACAACCTGTAAATTCATTAAAATCTGTCAAACTCTTAATGTGTTACACATACCATAATTCCAACCCAACAACTAATAACATTTTCCAACCATCGGACCATTGCAACTATTATATTTACATACTAGTCTTTTTGGATTTGTTAAAAATATCTTTTTATCATTTTTGGTCACATACATTTGAGCTGAGAGCCAATGATTTTTGCCACCACGACATATGACCATACGAATATGCAAGATATGTCAATGCATGAACTACAAAGACTTTCAAAACCTTAGAAGCCATGCTCTGGTACTACTCTGACACGTCCCGTCCCGAATCACGCTAATGGACTAGGAACGTGACGTGCGCCGATTATAGACGCTGATTAGATATTAGGTCCACTACCAAGGCTGATTATGACTTACTACAAAATATGCTCCAAAATTAAATATTTATGAAAAATATAATGCAATGGGCCCGAAATAATTACTTCATGTTTTACAAAAATGAATCGTATCACTTAATATGTAGTGTGGCTCTAATTCTAAAACCACCAAACTCCTCAAGCTATCAAGGACCAATACTACCTGTAAGAAAAACCTTGGAAAGTATGAGTTTATAGCTCAGTGAGTCGAAGAGTTTGAAAATAATTATACTTTCTCATTTAAACATTTTTCTCATATATAGACATCAAGTTCATATCATTTAGTAATTCACATGACAACCTCATAAAATTTATAGCAAAAAAAGAGACATTCTCATAACTCTAAAAATATCATCTCATACCCACGATATAGCCATTAGCTGATATCTATACCATCATCTCATCACATCACATGTGATCTACCAAAAATGTATCCTCTGACTAAAATTTGTAATCCGCCCCTCGGGTTAAGCACTTTCGCCACGGGTCTTTGGCCCTCTCCATGAATGAAAGTCTATCTCAAGACCTCTAATAATCAATTATAGAATACGGCCAAGGCCCCTCTGTGAACTATATGTACACGATCAAGACCAATATTAGGTCAAGACCCCTCCGTGTAGGATAGAACACGGCTAGGGCTCCTCTGTGAACGAGAAGAAGTATATAATCACGGGTACTTTTCTGATCGATCTCAATATCACATGTGTCTCACATTCCAACTCACAAATAATCCATATCCAAACTTTAAATTCCACATATATCATAGTGAAAGAATCTTTCCATATTAATTATGTAGTTAAACAAATAATTTGCATAATCACACGTAATGTAATAGTATAAGTACCTTATTACTATTTGAAAATATATAATTTTTCCACTCACAGATGTATGTATGGATAGCAATCCGAATAAATTGATGGGCATTTCCAAACTTTCATGCCACTACCTGAAATAAATGTATAATAACTCAAGCCAAAATCTAACAATTAAACTACTAAAAATCTACCACGTAGTTCCCCTAACTTCTATATTTATTCTTGCCCCTCTATTTCTTTAACTTTTCATCTCTTTAATTATTTACTAACAAATCACCAAACATCATAAAATCCATTAAATCACTATAATTCTTAAAATCACTACTTTATATATATACTATACAAACCTTATACATATTTAGTTCGATACGTAGACTTCAATATTTGTCATATAAATTCATTCAAACCTTTTAAAATTTGGAAATCCAAGGTTTGATAAAAATAGCACTAAAATTCCAGAATATAGAAATGTAGCACCAATTTCTATATATTGAAATCTGCCACCAAAACCATTGACAGAAATGGCACTTTCTGAGCAGAATTTCAAAAATAGCACTATGCACGAGTTTTGCCCGAAAATTAATTAAAAAAAAATCAAAATCCAACCTTAACTCCATATCTCATTGTAATAC